ATCGTGTCGCAAGACACTCAGGGCCGGTTCCGGCTGACGGGGGATCCGGCGCCCGGCGACTGCTCCCTGCAAATCAGCGACGCCGAAGGACGGATGCAGGGAGATATTTCCTTAGAGTCGAGAAAGGAGACTTTAAATGCACTTACCGGACCAATAACGATCACACTTTCCCTATCCTAGAGATCTCCGTGACACGTAAGAGCAGCCGCAGTCACCACTCATCGGTCCCCCTGAGCCAGTCAGTCCCCGCCCTGGGGCCAGATTGGAGCGGCGCCCCTATAGGGGAAAGGCCCCATGTCCCCGAGTGATTCTCTCCCCTCTTGACATATCTCAGGGCTGATGGAGGAGCCAGAGATCCAGATCTCGCCAGCGTGGGGGCCGCCAGGGACGCTGCTGGCTGGGGAGCCAGTGAATGTGACCTGCACGGCCCCTGGGCGCTGCTCCGGGCCCCCTCCCCAAGTCACCTGGACGGGGCCGTTCTGCGACACCGCCTGGAACGTCTCAGCCCAGCTGGCAAACGGTACTTGGGCCCACAGCTCTGAGCTCCGCTTCACGCCCACCCCAGGGGACGATGGCAAAGAGCTCGTCTGCACCGTCACCTACAGCCCACCACAGGGACCTTCCACCAGCAGAACCATCCGGCTCCACGTAGACTGTGAGTGACCCACTAGCCCCTCGACGCCGGCCCCCAGCTCCCTATGCTGGGTTCCCCACCCCTGGGCTCCCCAGCCCTGCTCTCCATCCCCTCCCCAACCCTGCCCTGTCCTGGGATCCCCACCCCCCACCATGCAGCCTCAACCAATTCTACTCCAGGCCCCTTCCCTCCACACCGTGCAACCCTTTCTCCCTTGGGATCTTCACCCTTCCTGCCCCCCTTGGCTATGGCTCCCCTCTCTACCCCCGACCTGCCCTGCCCCCAGAATCCTCCTGTGCTGCGGTCCACACCCTCCATTTCAATCCCACCTTGTTGCGATTTCTCCTCGCACCAACCACCCCAGTTCCCCCTGAGATCCCACCGGGCTATCCCACCGCGTCTCCTCCACTCCCTCCCCTTTCTGTCGCGATCGGTGGATGCTCTATGTGGGGCAGAGTGTTAACGGGACCAGTCACTGTCCAGCACTAAACACACTCCGGGGTCGGTGCCCAGAGACCTCGGCCCACCCTGCCCCGGGCAAACCCCCATTAAATGGCTTATGACCCTCACGCTGCAGATCCAGGGTAGAGGGGAAATAAGCGGCTGTCTTTGCGAGGTGAAGGATCAAATCAGGCATCAGTGTATGGACGGCCCTTGTTCCCTTCAGCCGGAGGGAGCTTTAGAAGGAACCCGCTCCCCAGTCCCCCGCCCATGTCTGAGCCCAGGCCCCAGCCCGACCCCGAACATCTACACAGACCTCGGAGGAAACGTCCGCACTGCAATCGAAGACCCACAGCCCGAGCCCCCCGAGTCCAACCCAACGGACCCAGGCTCTGAGTTCCGGGTGTTGCTTTTCCCCACCCCTCTGGGTGCAGCCGGGTAGCCAAGCAGCAAAATACCCAGTCCTGGCCAGTCAAGCCCAGGGGCGAAAGGAGAGGGCTGGGGAGAGATGAACTGAGGGAGGAAAGCAAAGGAACCATGACAGGGGTGTCTGATGTCCCTGGTGGTAGCTGGGTCTGGGGTGGGGGGGTGAGGGGGGTTATTTAGAACCCTGGGTC